CCGCGGGGCCTCGGCCGCCCACGCGAAGAGCCGCGGAGTTCAGCCCTAGCCGAGAGAGCAGTGGTCTCTCAAGCGCTTGGCCCCTGCAGGCCTCGTTACGATCCGTGCCGGGTTAAACGAACGCCCTGCTTGGGTCTCCCCTGAGGAGAGGGCAGGCAGAGCTCAGCCCTGACAGGCAATCAGCACGCGTGCCCACCACAAGCCAGCAGCGGCCGGGGGGACCTGTGGTTATTGCCGGAGGGGGAGGCACGGATAGCGTGAGAGACAGCTGGGATGCGGCAGGAGACGGACTGACTGCACAGGGGATGAGGGGTCCCAGCACTGGAAAGGCCACAGAGGGGGGCCTGGGGACCCTGCAAGAAAGGACTTCACCCAGTTAGATGGGGGAGACGAATCTGTGTGGGAACGGACTTTGTTACATTGGCTGCTAGAACAATTTCTTACAGGCCAACAGCTTTGTTACAAAGGTGACGACTCGCTTCTGAGAGCTGTGAACTCAGACATTTGCTTATTCCTGCGCGCCCTCTTACAGCTAGAACTACAGTTTGGCACCTGCTTGCCTGTCAGACACAGTAGCTTGGCTTGATCCGTGCGCAACAGGTAACTAGGCTGCTGCGCACTATCTCAGACGAAGAGCCCATTAGCCTGCCTGGGGCCTCACAGAAACCCTGATGAAATAGTCAGTTCCTTAGCTCCCGTTACTGCAGTAGCCCATCTGCTTCAGGTGCCCATGTAGGATGGCATCAAGCAAGGGAACTCCATGGATAACAGAGCAAGGCTGCAGGATAAAATAATGGTATAATTTATTAATAAAACTATGGCACTGAAAAAGCCCAGAGAGTCTCATATGCTTAACAATTATGTTAGCTAGTGCAGGGCAGGGACCGTTCTTTGAAAAAGCAACATCAAGTAGGATGTTCAAGAAGTTAATTCCAAAACAGGTGTCAACCTGTTGCTCGAATTTCTACGTCCTTTGGGGAATACTATAAGTTCTTTTAATTTTTTTTTTTTTCCTCATTTGAGGTACAAGAAAGATCTCAATCCCCTTCCTGTTATCTCTAAGCGCATAACCAGGATCTGGAGAAACCATAACTTCCCCAGACAGCATGAGTCACTTTCTCAGACTACCTGTTCCTGAAGTAGAGACTCCTGGGTATAGGGTATTGAAATGAACAAAGATTTCAACCTCTGAAAATCAGAAAATATAGACTGGAGAAGAAAGGTCGTTACTCCAAGCAAAGGCAGGAAGTTGGGCTGTGTTGGAGATACGCAGGGAGAGAAGCAGGATGGACCCCTTCCTTACAGCTTTATCACCTGGACTGTCCAAAGAGCAGTTTGTAATATATTTGAGATTCAATAATGAATGTTATATAAAAAAGGGACCAACTTATGGCAAACCATAGTTTTTTTAAATAAGAAAGTAAAAGGAGTGGAAGAAATGTTAGGAATAATGACGGGACTATACATGGTAGAAAGCAAAAGCTACGTAAGTGAAAAAAGGGAGATGCATAGTAGTTATTGCCACCACTGTGTAATAAAATTGCCAAGATTTCCAGGCACAGCCTTCCAAATCATGCTAGTAATAAAAGTTACAACTATTTAAATATGCAACCATGATTTCCTATATATTATAAGAAGCGGACAGAAGGAACAAAGGAGTGCCTATACATTCCATCACATTTTTACCTTTCCTTAGCTACAGCAATGTCTCCATAGCAAATCATTACTGATTGCTAGAAGAAATATTTCTGTTGCATTTAAAGAAAAGGAACTCTAGGAATTCAACGGATAAAAAGCTTAATTAAAAAGACTGAATATTATCTCGCACTAGTTTTATAAAATTCCAACTTTCAGAAACAAGAAAATGATAAATAGACATGAGAAAAACAGAAATGCTTATTTAACACAGATGCTCACCTGTGCATCCTTAACTTGCCTAGTCACAGTCACAGCATACGCACATACTTGCATTCTGTTTTTAAACTCTGCCAAACAGGAACTACTTGCACACGCTCTACAGTCAAACATTTTAGGGTGCCATACTAAAAGAACCTGAATTCTGCTCCATTTAGTCACTCTTTCACCTTCATTCTCATTGTATCATCTAACACTTTGCCCTTGCTCGTTCATCATCACAGTCACAGACAGTTCACCTCCTACCTAACTGCCCAAAGTCTTTGTGGCATGACGATCCCTATTCCTTACCACTGACACCCGTTAAGGAAAACAGTTTTGGAGTGAGCTAAAATGGTTCCCTCAAAATTGATGTTCCAATCCTTTCCTTCTGTTAAGAACATCAATTTAAATTGTTCTGACTTAATAACTATAACTCATATCACAGGAGAAGTTCTGCCGAACTGTTCAAGCTACTCTCCATACTTTTAGTGCAGTTATGTTTAATATTGTGAAAGCAGCTGAACTGTATGAAAGTCATTTTGGAGCAGTAGGGCAGCAATAGTTTTGATCACATGGTAATTGGCTTTCACTCTGTAGTTCCTGGGGTTTTTTTGGAAGCTTGAGTTTATTCAACTCCACATTCAAAAGGCCAAAGCAGACAATCCTAATTTTGTACTAACAAAGTTTGTTTTGGCATAGAATTTATTTTAAGACCTTAAAAAGGTCAGTTTTTTTGTATTAGTAATATACTGGCCATATGCATACTAACAGACTCCCTTTTCTGAAGCATGCATAGCCTTGGAGTATGATCTTGCAAGTGGTTTTGTATTTACATTTGTTAACATAAATAGTATATTCTGCATATACACTGTCTATAGTCTGATCACAATTCCCTTAAGGAAAAGGATATTTTAGTGGAAGAAAACAGGAGTAGAATTATGAAAATCACCAGTATTTTTCATTTTCTTTGCTACAGAGAGAGGTTCTCTTTGCTGTATGCTAGAGTATGTTTTGCTAACAAGGCGTGTTTTTTGGGTGTACTCCCAAAATACACACCATCCAGCACGGTGCCATATGAGACGCAGTTAGAAGCAATTGTTCCTAGCTTTTGACCAGCTATATCCCAAAATTACTCCCCTGCCAAGTGTCAGGGTCCTGCTACAAATCAGGGAGGTGTCAGACCTCTAAAAGAAAGTTGTGAGAGCCTCTTACATTGCAAACTTGTAAATGCTACACACCTTGATCTGCAGATAAGGAAAGATTCCAAACTATATGTATTTACCATTGAAACACATTCAAAGTGATTGCTCAGATAACAGCAGCAAAAGTAGCTCTCAGTTCCACTGCAATGGTGGCAGCTGTATCAACACCAAAATAAGCTTCTCTGCAGAGGCAAGTACCATGCATCAGGTAATCGGCTTACTGCTCAACACATCTCTCCACTCCCAGCTTTATTTCTTTCTGCTTCCTCAAATCCGCAGTGAGTCAAGATTAGGATCTGAACTTTTAACTCAGATCTACCGGATCATGACAGAACAAGCCAGGGAGCATTAGAACTGAGATGGGCTAAATTAGGGCATTGGGGGCGGGTCCCGTTTGGGATTGTAGGAGAAAGAGGGAGACAAGGGAGAGCACGGGAGCTGGAGTTTGACATCGGAAAAAGTGGGGCATGCAACAGGACAAGAGGTGACAGCCTGAAGCTGGGGTCCCATTCTGAAGGGATGAGGGTGTGCAGGGCCAGGGAACAGAGGCACATTTCCTCTTTCAGGTGTGCATCACCTGACACAGAGGTGGGAGCTGTTGCTGCTGTTCATCTCTTGCCACCAAAGATGCTGTTTGCCTGCAGTCCCACTCATGGCACTATCTGGACAAATTAAGCTTAGTATAGATCTTGGCATACACTTCTGAGTTTTGCCTACAAAGTTAAATTCGCTAAGGATATTAAAAAACCACTAGCCACATGGCTGTGCCAGCAAACCTGATGGTATAAACATAACTGTGTGGTGAAAGGAGTGCTTAATGCCATTTGAAGAAGTGATGTGTGCTCTATAAATATGCAAGTCTTTTCCATACTACCTCATGGTAACACCACTCAGGGGCATTAAGAGTGGTTATACGATAATGTCACTGCAGTGCCATCTGGTGACGAATACTGGAATTAGTATTAGAACTTGAATAAATCTAGTGAAAAGAAACACGGAAAACCAAGACAATTATCTATCTATCTCTTCAGGTCCCACATGGATAGGATGACTTGGACTTTCTGCTTTTAAACTGGGTGGGCAGGCCTTTTTTCTGTTCTCCTCAATATTAGCACAATTCACTACGACACATTTGTTTTATTTAGATAGAGAAAAATATACATGAATCACATTTGTAAAATAATCTGTAAAACTGTAGCTTATACAGCTGGTAGACACCTATATGCATGCCATATTAATAGATTTTTTTAAGTGACTGAAAAGTCATATTTCTGAGTTATCTGAGTATTTCTGAATGTGAGAAATCAGCATTATTCTTTAAAACTACGCTGATCTCAGGGAAATAAGGACTGATGAAAATATAATTGTCAGACTGTCATTTAGGCTTGACAAAAGTTACCTGTTTTTTCTAAAGCTACTTTGCTCACTGATATA